TGCCCGGGAGGCGTCTGCCGCAGGGCAGGAGCGTGCGGGGGCTGGCCTTGAGCCGCCAGCTCAAGCCCCCCGGGAGTTGATGCGAGGGACAGGCGTTACTTGTGCTCCCCAGGACTAAATTCGTGCTGCAGCCAACTGGTTGCTTTGGGTCACCTTTGCCTGTCCTCGTCAGAAAAAGCTGTCAGAGTCTTTATGCCAGCTCCTTTATTACGTGAGGTGCTATCAGACCTTCTTTCTCTCAGCAGAGGTGGGTCATCTCCCCTGAATTTCTGCAGACTTTGTGCTAAGCGTCTGCAGGAGCTGTTTTGGAGACTCGTGAGTTGATGTGGGAATGAGGGGTTCAGGATATTGTTCCCAATAGCAGCGCTGCCCAGCTTTTTATTTGCTGGTACTACTAAAGACTTCACATTTAAGTTTTGGCCGCTTTGGCTCAAAGCGGGGAATTTGGAATGCAGGAGCCTCCCTTTTCCCTCTGCTTGTGGTGTTCTTGCCCCTGGGGAGTCCCTTCCTAGACAGGCTATTTGGTATGCCAAATACGCACTAAAGCTCATTTTTTCTCTCTCCCGCTCTCTCTCCTTCTCCCGTTCTCTTTCTTTCTATCTCCAATAATTTTCTGCCCTAAGAAACTCTCTACCTTCTGCCCCACACCAAAAGTGATCAGGTGCATGACCAACACCCCTGTGATTGTCCGGGAAGGTGCTACAGTCTATGCCACTGGGACTCATGCGGATGTGGAGGATGGGAAGCTCTTGGAACAACTGATGACCAGCGTAGGCTTCTGCACCGAGGTGGAAGAGGACCTGATAGATGCTGTAACGGGGCTCAGTGGCAGTGGCCCTGCGTATGTATGTGCTACTTCCTCAACTTGTGACAGTCTTGGGGAGAGCGGTAGGCCTTGCGTGCGGTGAAAGTCTGTGCAACTTCAGTTTGTCATTCCTTGTTTTCCTCATCGCTCACATTCGCGATGGGACATGTAATCCAGGTATCCAGTTTATAACCAGTTTGGGTCAACAACAAAAGTCCACTACCAGTCGGATGAGTCTGAAGTCCATAGCCAGCGTGCAGTGTCCACGTTGCAAAACGTGGGCCTGTAGTTAGTACGACCCAGAAGCTGAATTTCTCCCATTCCCCCCCACTCCTGAGCTGGAACTAGCGGGAGGGAAGCCTGGCATGGCACCCATGCAGTAAAGGGGGAGGCTTTTGTC